GAGCAGAGTACATGTCTTTAAATACCTCCCAATTACTGTGATGTTTTAATATGGCTGTATGTATTTTGGTGTCAAAGTTAACCTGTTAAGTGGGTGAACAGTTAACGAGCTGTGTGATGCAGTCAAAGTACTTCTGAGACTTGGCTTACTGTGACTTTTGTCCCGTTCATTACATGCTTGATTTTATGTTACAGTAAAAAGACAGACTGATAGCATCCTTTTCTAGTGAACATTTTTTTCTCTTTAGGCTAGTATTTTAATTACTTAAAGGCAATAATAATCTTGGCAGATAGATGTACTGTTGAATTCTTGAGATTATCTGACAAACTTCTAAGCATATTCAAAGTGTATATAAAGAGAAATTGGCACACAATGGATTTTCATTAGTCAGTATATTATTTCTCTCCATGCAGATGCATGTACAATTGGTTAATAGAAAGAGGATGCTGTTGGTCACTTAGCAGAAAGTCTGACAATCCATTTTTAGACAGACATCCAGAGCATAAATAGACATGAGCATATAAGGTCTGAGAACTGATGTTTACTGCAGTTTATGAAAGCACACTACCTATTATTGCTCTGGGTTTTCTTCATTGAGGGTGCTTCACTCTGGTGCAACAACAGAATTTATGAAAGTAAAACTGGTGTTAAATATTGATAAGGGTCACACAATAATCATTACACTTCCTGCAAACAATTCCTGTATGGGATTGGTATTTATTGGTGCAAACTGTACTGTGCTCTCTGCACTGAAATGGGAGGCCTTCAGTTGGATTTTGTTACTCTGAATCAGTGGATTTGTATCTTCAGTTTCTTGTACCTGAACTACACTGCTTTTGCCTGCAGTCTCATTTTAGGTACTATGATAATTTGAGGACATATATTCAGGCCCATCTAAGTATCTGACCTGATCAGTTGCTTTTTCTTTTGGAATATGCTGGAGCTCTCAGGGTGTGTTACACAGTAACCTTTGATCTGGAGACTGTCACAACTAGGTATTGAGGAACATAGAGAAGGTTAACATTTTAATTATGGGATATGAGGGGTGAGGAGGCCAGTGGAAAAGCTGTGTGTAATATCTGTTAATTATGCCTTTATTCCTTCTGATGCTCTTTTTCAGATATGAGATGTGTGTCACACGCAGTTGGTGCATCTTTGTCAACCCTCTGAAAACCAGTGTGCCATGAAAAGAATATATTAAATAGAACTGCTTAGCTTTTAGTTTTTTCATTTTAAACCTCTAGGTTGTCAATGTTTAAATTGTAAGCAATACAAAATAAATTTCACTTTCAGAACTTTTAGCTTACATGACAAGGTCAAAACAGTTTACAAAACAGCTCAGGCCAAACCTGTCTAACTTAAACTGCCTTTAGCAGAATCTTGGGTTGTGCCAATCTTCTAGCTTATAGTCTCATTAGCATTATTTATAATCAAAACAAATGTACCAGTTGTGGTTTAAAGGTCATGTTACTTTGTGTAAAAAATACTTTCTGTTACCAAGGTCTGCTTCCAAAAAAATTATCTTTATAAGTAGTTAGATGGAAAAGGTTCTATGATCATGTCTGCCCTATGTCTTAATGCAGCTTGAGATTCTGTAGTAGTCAGCAGTCAGACTCACTATTATCAGACAGCTGAGAGGCCAGGATCCTGTTCATACTGATTTTCTTTGTAATAGATCTTGCTAGCGGAATTTCAGCAATACCAAAGGTGTTCTCAGTCATCTTCAGTGTTCAGCATCCTGTCACTTAGTACAGAAGTAAAGGATATTGGAAGTTTTAGAAGCTCAGTCTCTAAAAGTATTTTTTTGCTGCTGTCAGTGTTGATAGAATGGTCTCAGGAAAACAATGTTGCAGATTTTGTGGTGGGAAAAAGCTAGTCTAGGAGATGCAGTTGTGGTTGTAGTTGCTTTAGAGAAGTGTGGTATGTGTTTGATGAATATAAATACATTAATAGTTGTAGTGATAGTGCAGTTGTCAAAATGCTGAATTGCAGAGGGAAAAGGTATGAGTCCTTTTGGGCGGCGGGGAAGAAAGGATCACATTTTTCCTATCTAGTGGGTTTTTTGCATTGATTCCACTTCGTTTATTTCTACTGTTTGCAGACTAGTGGGGAAAAGAACAGTATTAGTACTTCCTTCATGTATCAATAGAAGGAATACTGTTTCTATTTATTTAGTGAAAACTACTTGATGGAGATTTTGAAATGACTGTTGATCTATAATGCCACATATATTCAGCAGATTTGTTATTTTCTTCCTTGAAAGGTTTTCAAATTCAAGTATGTTATACTAAGAATGAAACTACTTCTATATGAAAATAAATGAAAAGAACCCTTAAGGGTTTGGGAAAGTAGTGTTAGAGACTAGTTTTTAAAGAGACAGAATTACTAGATAAGTGGTTATCAGTATGGTCTATGGTGATACATGACATGCAATAGGTCAGTCTGTTGTTACTGTGTGAGGATCTGTGCTTTCACTGGCTGCCAGCAGAGAAATGTTGATAATTGCTAGAAGGAGAGCATCCTCAAGCTTCTGAGAATTGCAGATGCAGTTTAGAACATTTTAAATTTCAGTTACTGACTTTGTATCTCACTAATAAAATGGCTGCATCTGGTAGAAGAAGGATCTTAAGTCTGATTTTTACAAGAGTATGGTACAGGGTTACATTAGATAAGCTGACCTGTATTCTGTTTTAGGCATATGTGAAAACCTATATGTAGAGGCATATTTGGTTTCTGCAGACATGGTTTTTGGAGCCTTTCAAAATAAAACTTAGAAGGTAAATAATACAGGACAAAATACTAAAGAAGAATATATGGAGTGTGAAAAGGCGAGTGTAGGAATTACATTTTTCTATAAACGTTGAGGTGTAGTCCTAGTTGCATAGTTCATTTCTTAGGTAACTGATCCTTTTAAATCTATTGCGTGTTCCTCTGTCCTCCTTGTTCCTAATCTTGACTTTCCTTTGCGAAAGTCAGGGGACTAATTGATGTTATACCCTGACCGAAAATAACCTTTTCCTACAAAGTCCATTACTCCTGTCTCTTCCCTCAGGATTTTTCTATACTTGATATTCATTGTGACTTAGTTTCAGCTACTGTGTAATGAAACATACAGCATCCAGCACCTTTTCCTCTCTTTCTCACAGTGCTCTGATGCTTTTGTGATGGATGTTCTTGCTTGTTTGCTTTTTCAAGGTGATTTTGCTAGCTGCAGAATCTTATCAGACCCTCCTCCCGCAACGTTACTGCTTTATTTACCTGTAAAACCCCATTTGTGACTGGAGCCAGTTCATAATTTAGATCCCGATATTTAGTCTGTGTATGTATGTTTTATTTACTGTATTTCATTTAATGGGATGGTTTTTATACTGGCATCACTTCAGCTGCTGAGCACTCATGCTTGTGTCAGTCTTGCTGCAGTCTTGGTGGGAAAGGGTATAATCTGTTTTTAATTCTAGCTAGTGTGTATCTTTAGACATGCTGCTGTGTGAGTAGCTGTCTGAAGGAGAGGTGATTCATCTGGGGTATGAAAATTCTGGGGACAATAGTTAGTCTGCAGAAGGTGTCTAAAATATATGTATATAAGGCATAAAAAGAACTGTGACCTACAGCACATACACTTTAATGTGTATATGCGTAATAATAGTATCAGTTTTAGCAGTAAATAAAGGCAGCTTTTCTCTACTGCACAGAGCACAGCCAAATGAGGAATCGCTTATTTGGGAGCTAGGTTCCTTAAGAGTGAGTGCATGAGTGAGTGCCAGTCCAATTCCCTTCCAAGGTGGTTTCTGACAAAAATGCAGAAAATGGTTTTGAATTGAAATTCATGAGGCAAAAAAATTCTTTTTGTGAGAAGTAATTTTTAATTTGGTAACATGATGTATGTTATAGTCTCTCTGTCATGGTTGTACAATACATCTGTTTTGAGATTAGGTAATTTGGTGATTTTCATTAAGTCATAGTTTAATTCTGCTGGATGTATGTTAGAATACTGAGCTTTAAAAAATGGTGTTAATGTTCTTAAATATTTCCTCTGTTTACGTACTTTTTTTTGTTGGTGTTCAGTGGTAGCTTAGCAGAGCTCTCCTATCTGTTTGTGTTTTCTGGCCGGTTTCAAGTAAAACATCAGAAGCAGTCCCTGACAGACTAATTGTGGTGTATTGCCAAAAGGGGCAGAAGGCAACTTCACAAGGTTCCTTGATCTTACTTAAAAATTGATAAATTACAATTTGCTGTGCATATTACATTTATCAGTTTTAGGAGTGTGTCTTCTTGTATTTGCTGTTTTCTGGGCTATATCTGTTCTTTTTGTTTTGCAGTTGGATTGTCTTTATGTGGCCATATGTAAAATTTAAGTACTGCAATCTCCCTTGTTTTAAAAGGTCATGAACCAGAGCATTCTTCAAAAAAAGTTTTAGGTGTTGCTGATTATTAAACCCTCCACCTGATCTTCCTTTCTATGTTATGTCCTTCCCCAATGTGTACTAAAGGGAAATACCACCAGAGAAATTGAAATTCTGAGTAAAAAAATAAGAATGTGTCCTTTGTCTCCATTAAAGTTTTCACGTGTTTATTTAGAATTCATTGTAACTTGTATCTCTGAACTAATGTTACTGGTACATACAGGTGTTTATTGTATGACTAGAAGTTTAAGGTCATGTTATTCATAGGAGAAGATGCCATGAAATTTGATAACTTGGCGTTCGGAACATTTTTTTGAGTTCAAAAAAAGCATTCTTGAATTAAAGTGTTCAGATGTTTGACCTATGGCTGTATGACAGCATGACCTAGAAAGAGTTATTTATCAAATTGAAATTAAAAAGAGTTATTTATCAAATTGTTGCCATTTCCAACATAAATATTTTATTCCCTCCTACAGAGATTTTTAATCATAACCCTTTCAAAAAAGAATTTTTGTGATCCTTGTATGGAAATAAAGTATGGTTGTGCATGGTAATTATGCCAGGTATGGGAATAATAGTTTAATTTTCTCGTTTCAGTATGATGCTGTTCCAATCCAGTCAAGTGTGGTGTTATGCTCCTGTTCATCCCCTTCAATGGTGAGGAACCAAGCAGATTCCAGCACTCCACCTGTCATTTCCGCTTGTGGCAGCAGACAGGGATCTAACATGGAGGGTACAGCACCTGAATCAAGATCTAATTCAAACTCCTTGCAGCAACATACAGGACAGCAGCCTCCACAGCCTCGAAAGAAACGACCTGATGATTTCAAATTCGGGAAAATTCTTGGTGAAGGATCTTTTTCAACGGTAACTTTACTTTTTATAAGAAGTGACAGATATCTTATATAAACTTGAAAATTTGTTGTGTAAGATTGATGACATTGAAATATGGAGAGAACAGCTTGAAGAGTAAGTGAATAGGACTTAGTGGATTTAAGCTTAACTATTAAAATTGTCATCCTAAATATGGGTAGCAATTTTTTTTTAAGCTCCTCTTAAATTGATCAGAAATCCTCTTGTATCCTAACGACTTGATGCTTGGCTGTTTAATCAACATTGTTTTCTAATATAAGTGTGATAGCCAAAACAGGTTATGTAAGAAGTTTGATATAAAGGATTGGAACTGTTCTAGGAGCTTGTGGTAAAAACTATGTGATGTCCTGTCTATGGCAGGAGGTACTGCCAGATGCTTTCAAAAGAAAGAACACTGATACTTCTCTGGTATTCTTACTCAGCCCCTGGTCCTTGAGGATTTAGTGAGTCACAGTTAGTATGTTTGTGTTCAGTAGCCTTAAATGGTTTGTTGCTTACATCCACAGCATTGCACAAAAATGAATTACTTAAGTGTTACCTTAATGAATCCATGAAGCATTTAATACTTTCATTTGATGGTTTGGTAGTTTCCCAGTTGTAAGACAATAATATTTCTGTATCTTTTTCGTATGATACTTGTGTACAATTTTTGGTTGTAGGTCTCTAAATGTTGGGGTTTTCTGGTTCTTCCAGTACAGCCTACTGCAGTGTTTAGTATGCAGGCCTATAGTACTTGCCAAGAGTAATTTGTGCTCAAACACGTAGTTTGCATAATTTGCAGGTTTCCCTAAAGCATCCAAAAGTGGTTTGGGTATACCAGGACACTTTGCTTCAGTAGTACTCTTTTCATTTCTGCTTTTGGTCTCTGAAAGTTAATGCCATATTCTGTGTAGGTAGAGAAATTCATAGGGCTTAGCCGAGACTCTGAATTAACTTTGTCCAGCACTCTGCTACCTGTCTCCCTGGACAGCAGCGCAACCCTCTGAAGTATCAACTTCAGAGCATTTGATCGGGGGGGCATGTATCTTTGTGTTGTCATCAAAACATCTTGTTAAAAAGCATGATTTGTTCGTAATAAACAAGGTTGTAGACCCAGAGATCTGACTGTACTCCCCAAGATCCTCATCAATATTCTAACTAAAAAGTGTTTATCTGAAAAAATAGGTGCCCTCAAATTACCATATATCCAGTGACAGCTTCAGATTAAAGAAATATTTTCTTCAAGGTCATAATGAATATATTCCATTTTCTTGGACTTCTTTTATGCTGCCACAAGCTCTTTCCTAATGCCAAGGCTGCGTTTTAAATTCAACAGAGAGACACATGATGTGGCTTCAGGGTTTTTCTTCAGAGCACTCTCCAATTTTGTGGGATCTTCTTCTGCAGCTGCAACTTCTTGGACCCATGCCTGATATAAACGAACACACAAATACATGGCCTTCTACTTGTTGGTCTGCACTTTTAAATTAATGAGAATCTACTTGCTTTGTAGACAGCTTCAGTCTTCTTTCAGAATAATATCTGTTATTGGTGGAAAAATTGTAATTCTCATGATTGAGGAGGCATGTTGCATAGCTCACCTCCTTCAGTATGGTGGGTACATATATATTCCACCTTGGTTTTGTCTCCACCTATAAATGAGGGTTTTCTTAAAAACAGGAGCTCTAAGGAAGTATGATTGTCTGACCAAAACCAGTTCTTAAATGCAGATTTCATCTCTAGCAGCCTGAAGTATTTGTTTAAATTTAGAGTGGGGCTTGGTCATGATGTATGCCAGGTATGTTGACAGTTATTTCTGCTCTGTAGCCTCTGAGGGTTCTCTGCTCTACCTATCTCACCTTCCTCTCCCCTTCCTTTGATTTGGGATGTTTAACTACATTTCTTACCTTGCTGTTGTCTGAATTTACAACTTACACGCTTACATGTTCTGTGAATGCTTTTGTTTTCTCTTGGTTTTATGGCTTTTTTTTTAAGCTATCTAGTTAATGTCTAATTTCTTTGTATAGAATTTACATTCCTTATTGATATTACTTCTTCCCATGGGGTGGATAAGATTCAGGCCCCTGATAACAGAGACGTTGTATTAGTATGTACCTCTGAGGGGTTTTCTGTTTGCTTTTTGTGCATATCTACTGTTGTTTTCTGGATTATTAGTTAAGAGGAAATTAAGATACATGGTATGCTCAGATCTGATTGGTGAGGAAGGAGCTTCAGGGTACCAAAGTACTCCTGCTATTAGGTAAGTGCTCAGTGTACTTAGAACACAGCTGCTCAATATCAATGTATGTGGATAATACCTGTGAAATACAATGGTAAAAAGTTGGATACAGTGCAGGACTGGAGGAGAGTCAGTCTTTAGCTTAATTTGCCAAGATATATTTTCGTCTGTGTCAGCTGATATCTTCTGCCATCTGAGTTTGGTCTCTGTGTATGTGAGGTTTTATTTAATAACTGCCTTTTAAACTGACCTGCTTTCAGAAGCTTTCATGGTAGATATGGTTGATGAAACCTAGCTACAAAAATTAGCAAAGTTGATAACATTGTCATTCAGCTGCACATCTTACCTAGTGTTATGTGTGTACACAGAAGGATCTCAAAAATTCCTTATGCAGAGAGGCAGATGTTAACAGACTGGTTGTTTGTAACATTTCTAGTAGAAATTTTCATTGATCAAATGCTGTAAATGTCAATGTGGTTTTAGGAGATGAAATTTTAAAGAAAGTTAAGGCTGCCTGTTACTACTGAGCTGAGGTCAATTTTCTAGTACTAAAGAGTGCAGCTGCATGCACTTCTTTCATATGAAAAAATGCCTTATTTAGATTTCCTAAATACCTAACATTTAGCATCAGGTGTTTGTAGTAATATTTTGGAGTACTCTGTTATAACTGATTTTACAAGGGATTAGAGGCAAGCCTGGTGCAGTGATGAAAAAAATTAGTATGAAGTTGAGATTTTTAGCAAGGTGTTGAAATGGATATAAACTTAAAATGAGAAAAACAAAGAACGGTACTCATCTGTTGTTACAAGGTTATTGGTTGCATTCATGCAAGAAGACTTCAGATTGTCTCTAAAATGACCTTTTATAGAGTTCCGTCTTGAAAATGGGCCTTGTGTTCCTCCAAAAGCATTTCTCTTGAAAAATGTAAACCTGCTTGCCTGAAATTTCATCCCTTGCTTCTACTAATTGGAAATATTCTGTTCCTTTTATTTAAATCTTTTTCTTAACAAACTGTAAAGAGTTGAAAGTTCTGTCTCACTTCTTACTTTTGCTCATTTGGATAAAATTTATCTTTCAATCTTTGCCATCTGTATTAAGGAAAGTACTGTGACAATTATTTTTATAAGTATTCCTCAGAGTACTTGTTGCTTTTTGTTTCCCCCTTTAAGAAAATTTGTGACTTACATTACAATCTTCAGAATTCTTCTGGAAAAAAAATTCAGTATTTACACTCTTAGATGTGTAAGTCTTTTGGCAAAACAAACATTAGTCAGCTGAACTGAGTTTCTGCAGAAGTCTTGCTGTAGCCAGCATAATATGCTTAAATATTTTGCTGTGTTCCAAATACCTACTGGAAGATCAATGTTAGTGCATGTGTTTAGTGGCCAGTTACAATATGTTTTCTTTCCTCTGGCAACAGGTTGTCTTGGCTCGAGAATTGGCAAGTTCTAGAGAATATGCCAGTAAGTATTGATTCCTTTAACGTGAATTTCTTGAAAATACAGTATCAGTGTAGTCCAGTTACAAAACACCTGTTGAAGGAACAGAATTAGTGGTTTTATGTTAATGAAATGTAACCAGAAAAAACTCCAAAGCAAAATGGGCTTCATTTACTGGTACCTCTTTCATTTTTACTCTCTTTTTTTCATTAAGTTAAAATTCTAGAAAAACGTCATATCATAAAAGAAAACAAGGTACCATATGTGACACGAGAGAGAGATGTAATGTCCCGTCTGGATCACCCTTTTTTTGTGAAGCTCTACTTCACCTTTCAAGATGATGAAAAGCTATGTATCCTTTGCATATTAAAACTTGCTGTAACACTTTCTTAAGAGTAATAACAATGCCCAGTTTTGATTCCTTGAAAAATGGTCTAATGAAAATGATGGAGGTAACTTGAGCTATTTAAAATATCCTCATGTATGTGATGCAATTTTTGTAGCTTTTAACAGAAATTAAGCAGATTGAATGAGTGGGTTCTCTCAAAGAGAAGAGTAAGTGTCTCGTGAGACATGGGTGAGCAATTAAACAAATTATCCATGTGGGAAATGTTGAAGAGTGACTTGTAACAATCCAATGAGAAGTGTTCCAGAAGTGTTTTATTCCTGATGTTTATATGTGTCTGTGTATATCCATCTGTCTATCTGTAGTAAAACACAGTAATTCTTGTATTTAAAATAGGGGTAGCCAGCTAATATTTCCTACTAGTTTAATTTCTACAATTAGAGCTATTACAATTTTTCTGTAAAGATGAAGGTACTTATAGAATAATGTGAATCCTCTGTTTGGGCTGGTGTTTTCCCAGCTCTCTCTACTGCACTTGCGAAGTGCGGTTTCATCCTGGAAGCTCATTGCTTGGCAGTTGGCTTTTTTTTTTTTTTTTTTTTTTTTTTCTTTTTTTTTTTTTTCTTTTTTTTTTTTTTGCAAAGAAAATGTTAATTATGTGAATTTCCTCTTAAACCTTCTGCTTGGACTTGGCTGTGCCAAGCGTAAAGGTATAAATCAGTCTATTTCTGGGGTCAGTAAGTAGTTTTCTGTTTTTCCCAAAGGCTGCTAATAGTGCTGGCAAGCCCTACATATCATGCAGTGTGAGCTCAGAGGGCCTCTTTTGTATGGTAAACACTTGCTGTGGTACTTTCCAGGTGATGCGACAATTTTTAACTTCTATCAGTTATTACTGTAAACAACTCTGAGGACAATTTTGTATGTCATTTAAATGAATTATCCAAGTCACTCTCTGGAAAAACTGTGAAGTTAACCCTTTATGTAGATTTTGCTATACTAAGAAATTTGGACCCATGTCCTGAGTTGTTGGTATATTTAAGAAATTGCCTGGGCTTGCTATTTGTAAAGTTTCAAATTAACCAACTTCCCTGTTCATGTATTTTTAGTAGTATTCTTCTCTTTGGAACAAGATTGTGGACATTTTTGTTTTAGAGTGGCTTAGAGATAAACCTTAACTAAGTTACATTCAGATTTTGGACTTAGCTATGCCAAAAATGGAGAGCTGCTAAAGTATATACGCAAAATTGGCTCATTTGATGAGACCTGTACAAGGTTTTATACTGCTGAAATTGTATCAGCCCTGGAGTATTTGCATGGCAAAGGAATCATTCACAGGTAATACAGAGTTGAGACAGACATGCAGTTGATCATGTAAGAGGTGGGTTGTTTCCTAAAAATGTTCTTTGTGAAGCTAAAAGCAAAGTTGGATTTTGTGGAAAGCTAAAGAGCACAAATAGTGTTTGATCAGCCCTAGCACAGTTAACATCAGTAGTTAAACACGGGAAACTTGAGGAGGAGAGCCAATCACTGTTATACCAGCTGTTGGAGCAGGAAAAAGTAAGAAAACCTTCTGGCCTTGAATTAACATTAGCAAAAGCTTGTCTTTCAAGCTTCATCAGTTGGCCTGAAAACCAGAAAGTGACTTTTTGTGTAACTACTTTTTTCCCTGTGCTGTTATGTAGCAAAAGTAACTAGAATTCTTTTTGTGTGTGGCTTAATGTGTACTATATAATCAAGTAAAATTAATCTATATCAGTTTTCACTGAGTAAACAAATTCCACAAAGGTGCACAATAATTAGGTAAGTGGTGAAATTAGCGAAGTTTTAAGTAGTACTTTCAAATTTGTTCTTGATGTAATATATTGTTTGGATAGTCATGTTTTGTTATTCATATTTATTAAATAAAGCTTTAAGTGCTGAACATCTGAGCTGCAGAACTTCTTTTTGGGTAAGAAATCTATTGTGTTTTGGTTACCAAGCCGTTGTCATGGGACACTAGATGCTAGTTGGCAAAAAGCTGACTGATTATAATTCTGATAGCATTATTTCTTTGTTATTACAAAAACAGTTTTTCTGTTTAAATACAAGTTTTTGTGAAATAATTTGAATCTAAGGGGTATGGATGTGTAGCGCACTGAAAACATAATATATTCTATAGGGGCAGGGGGAAAGTTCAAGAACCCCCATTTGTACAGTGTTTAGGCTGAGAGGATGCTTATAAAATGAATGTGGCATGATTGTCAGTGTTACTAAGCCTATATTGGAAGCCTCCTACTGGAGAAGAGCTGCTTTGTACTTGTTTTTATATGAAGGACCCTACGAGGAGCTCACAAGAAAACAGCAAAATTGTGCAATTGGAGAACTTAGTATGAAGTTTGAGGACACAGCTCTAGCAATGCCTGAAAACTCTTGGGATTTTTTGCTGCCTGAAGAAATAGGACATGACATAGAACCACTTTAAGATGTCAGGCTACCCTGGAAAAATTATTACAGATATCTCTCTATGTATTTATATATATAGTTATAAATCCATAATCCAGTATTAATGTAGGTATAGGATATATTATATAAACAGTATATATGAATTGTGTGTAGAGTACAATGTATCTACATGCATACCTATCTTAAAGCCCTACACAAAACTGTTAAAAGGGTCCATTCCATTCACGTACTTTCTACTTCTCTCGTAGGACAGGCACAGGAAAATCAACAGGGTTTTTATGGCTTGTTGCTCTCTGTGGTAGTTTCTAGACTTTAAACTGTACAACTCATACTCTTCCATAGTAGGGGGCTTTAATCTGAGGAAAATAGTGCTGCACAGTGATTGACAGAAACAGCTTTCAGTTTTTACTGTTTTTTTCTTGCCAGTCAAACAAAATAACTCCCATGCTCCTAGATTTCTTTATGAACATTCAAAGATTCTGCTTAGGAGGGAAGTATGTAGGTTTTTTTGGATCAGCTAAGGAAACTTGATGCAAAGGCATATCATATCAGTGTAACTGAATGCTCTTAAGTTGTTTCTAATGCACCTCTTTACATCTAACTCTGTACTGCTATCGTGTTTGTGATACTGTGAAGTCTGGTTTTATTCCGAATCAGAGGCTGTGTCTATGTAAATGGTAGGCATGCATTTGAAATGCAGATTATGCATGGAGGTGATCCACTGTTCTTACCTGCTCAGGATATTAGCTGGGGCTGGGTTTGCCACTGTTTGACTAACTGGAGTTTTGCAGTGAGGAAACAGACATAGAAAATCTTAATGCCATATCAATCTGTCAGATGTTATGTAAATTAAGGCTTTGGAGTGACGTGGCTTAGGGTTTTGTGTGTGTTTTTGTGAGGTGGGGTTATTGTTGGGATTTGTTTGGGTTTTTTGTTTGTTTTGTTTTAAAATTTTTGAACATGTGACATACATAGTAGCGTAGTTTTGAGATTATTATTTATGTGATGTTTAAAAAAAAAGTTAATGGATTTAACAAAATTTGGTAGTCTGCAGGTTGACAGCTGCATGTTAGAGGAGTCGTTGTAACAATGTTTATAGAATGTCTGCATCATTTATATGTACCTAAGTCATAAGACAGTTTTTCAACTTTAATTTGTGTGATGTTTGAATATAAAAATCTGTCTTTTCCAGGGACCTTAAGCCAGAGAACATCTTATTAAATGAAGATATGCACATTCAAATAACAGACTTCGGAACAGCAAAAGTATTATCTGCAGATAGCAGACAAGGTTTGCCATTATTCATTATGTGACACCAATAATTATAGCAAGTGATCCTTTGAAATGTACATGTGTTGTATTTGCCAAGATTGTAACCTTCCAGTGTCATTACCTCATCTAAATCACTAAAAGATCTCAAAACAGTTTTGACTGTCACTACTTAGATTGTATCAGAGGAGGTAGCCTTTGGTGTAGTGGAACACCAGCTAGATTACCAAATAGACTGGGAAGTTGAACTACTTCAGGTTGCATTTGTAAGACAAGAATACAAACAAACAGGTACCATGGCTCACCTGATACAGTAAGTTTTATCTCTGCTTACGTGTTTAACTCCAGTGGCTGAAAGAATTACACAAATGTGAAGGTTGTAGTATTAATGTGTCTGCAGTTGTTACTAATTGCCTCTAAATAGATGCTGCAAACAATGCCTGAAAAAAGCACTAGGTTGAACTGAATTCAATTGACACTTTTTTCTTAACTGCAGCAAACTTGTGCTGGTAGATATTATAACTAAATACTTAAATGCCTAGCTTCTTCAACCAAACAGGTATCACTGAGATTGATTTGTTTCTTCCAGGCAGGCTTTGTGGATAGGTAGAGAAGTTAAATTCTCATGGGTTCTTTGCAGCATTATGTAACTTGCAGTGGGTTGCCTTTTGGGTTTTGTTTTTTCTTTTTTTTTTTTTTTAAACTGGGTGGTGATAGGTGAGGAAGGGGAATATTGGCTTATGCCTAAGTACGTGTTTTCTCATTTCTTTCTCTTTCCTTAACAGCGCGGGCAAACTCATTTGTAGGAACAGCACAGTATGTTTCTCCAGAACTGCTGACAGAGAAATCTGCCTGTAAAAGGTGAGGGCTCTATATTCCAGAACTTTACTGACTCTGTCAGGAAACTGTCAAATGGGGAGGAGTGGATAAATCAAGCAAGCAAGCTTAGCATTTTAAAGAAACAAGATGCTTGAGTATTTTAACAGAGTTTGAAATTTTTTTTCTTATTAAGTATCGCTTCTTGTCTGAGGGCTGGTTTCCTCAGTTTATCTACTTTTTTTGAGTTCTACTAACAGGATTAGATGTTGTTGGAGAAGGAGACATGTAAGGTGAAGTTGGATTTCTCACCCATAAATAAATCAGAAGAATCTGTTATCCAAGTAATACAATTATTTTAATTCCATTTTATATAAGATTGCTCAAATATGGTATTTCCTGCTGTAGGAACAACAGAATATCTCATGCTGTTCAGTTAAGGAGAAGGCTGCAGCTTTCTTTGACTTGTATTTAGATCAACTTGCAGTTATCTTTCCTAAACTGTACTTAGGATTTGCAACATTTTAAAACTCATCTCAAGGGTATGAGTGATGCACTTAAGAAATTTCTGAACTCATTAAAATTGCTTATTGATGGTATGCCACTGAATGTGTATATTATTTTATTGCATTGATGGAAGAGTAAGCTAGTTGCTGACAAATGACAGGTTAATTGGATCATTTATGTGAATAGGTGTAGTAATTTGTGCTAGCGTTTCTTGAAGTGATAGAGATACTATCAGACTTTTCACATCTTCTTTTAGTGAAGAGTTTTTGACTATTTTGGCTAATGGAAAGACTTAATTAGAATATCATCTCCTTTTAGAAGTTGCATAATGCTTCACCTGTATTAAAAAACTCTTATTTTGAGTATTTTTAAGTATTTAGTCTTCCATGAGGATTTTGAAGCTTTAATCAAATCTGTGGGTAGCTAACCTTGAGGTAAAATAAGTTGAAAGTGTTCTTTCAGGTCAACACACTAAAGCTTAACTTTCCTTTACCCACCACACTAGAAAGTCACCCTTTTTCCCTCACCATTATAGCATGTATTTTTGTTTGAGTCTTAAGAAAAGCTTTAGGTGAAAAGGTAAAAAACTGTATTGTAATATATTCTCTTTTTTTTTAATCAAATATTTAGAGGAAAATATTTTAACTCTGAAGGGCCATATATTGAATTAAGTTGGATGAATCTTTGAATCATCATGTGGATAGTCAGCAGTCTTTACTTACCCATTATTTTGACTGAGAATTTACCTGTCTTCCATTTGCTCCTTCTATGCTTGGAGTCAGGTTTTGTGGGACTGTTACTCTACAGTTTTTTCTTTTAAGTTGTGTTGCTAGCCTACTGTTCTTTCAAGGGCTGAAGTAAAAATAGTGTGGAAAATATTCAAAGCAGGTTTGTCCACTGGGTTCATGTTATGTTTTAAGTAGCAGAAGGTTAAGAATTTTTCTTTTTAGATTTCATTTTAAAGATTTCTTTTACAAAAAAGATTCTATGTTTTTTCCTCTTTGTTTTGAAGCTCTGACCTCTGGGCTCTGGGATGCATAATATATCAACTTGTAGCTGGATTGCCTCCATTTAGAGCTGGGTAAGAGATTTGAGCTAATTATTTACATGTGGATCATAAATATATTGCCTCTGATTGGATTTTTACCTTACTGCCAGTTCTGAAGTATTTTCATTATGCAGAGCTGGTATTAATGTCATGCCTGCTTTTATTTGTCCTTTTTGATGTCATGAAGTTGCTTAGACCGCAATAACTAGAGCTCCTGAGAGAGAGATGCCTTAAACTATCCAAGAATTTCACATCTAATTTGTGCCATGATGGTAACTATATAACTGTATGACTGTATGTGAAGAGGTTTATAAGGCACATCCTCAACACTCTCTGTTAAGTCATTTGAGCTTCTGTTGTTATTGCTCAAGTATCCGGTGCTTACAGGATCATAGTACCCCTTCACACTAGGAAGATTTATGGGAACATAACTGAACTTGTAGATTTTTTGTTTAATATTTGTCTGGTTTATTCAGGTTAAGGTGAAAGAACCATGGAGGACTAATAACAAGAGTTAATATTTTTTCTCTTCTGCAGAAATGAATATCTTATATTCCAGAAGATAATAAAGTTGGAATATGACTTCCCAGAAAAATTTTTTCCTAAGGCAAAAGACCTTGTGGAAAAGCTGTTGGTAAATATTTGTGCTTTTCTTCTTGAATGTAGTATGTTTGTCTTGATTTTTTTTTTTTTTAATAACTGACCAAGTGCCCAAATGCCTAACTTCCTGAACCAAAAGGTATAACTGAAATTGATTTGTCATTAAGTGGTTTGATGACATTGGAAAACATTCAGCTTATGTAGTTCTCTTTTCTGAAAGTTTCTATGCACTCTTGCAAATCTTATAATATGAACATCTGTGAGCATTATTAACTGTGTAGGGGACTGTCTTGAAAATTGACATCTGTTATTAAACAGTACTTTTTTTAATGTGAATTCTAAAAAGAATTGTTAGAAGGATGAGGAATGTCTTTCTATGAAATGGAAGCAAACAATTCTAGATACTGTGCATTACAAACAAATTAAGATTCAAATACTTAGGCTTACACAGTTTTCAGATTAATTGGTTTTGAGTTGTATAAGGGATCATTTAGTTGAAAACAGCATCCTGTACATCACAGGCAGATATATTCATTACAATATAAATCCAGTTGCCTTGCATTTTAGCATGCACTTAACATGTTTCAATAGTATCAGCCTAAGAATTACTGTGCCTGTGAAAGTTTGACAAGTAGGAAGAAAAAGTAGTTATGTTCCATCACTGAGATTACAGTCATGATACTCACGTGAATAAGCAGAAAATACTTTAGGTGTTACAAGCTTTTTTAAGTTCAATAATCTATCATATTAGCGGGGGATGGGGAGGAAACACTAACCTTTGTGGATGATGATAAATACAACCTAAAAGGCCTGTTAGTGCGTTCCTGTGTCCAAGACCAGTTCTATGGCCACGACAGCGTCTCCTGAATGGTGAAGTCCAGACTGTATTAACCTGGTTATATCCTGAGAACTGTGTCATTTTGAGGTGCTTGAGAGGCTGATGTTTAACAACAACTGTAGTTTCCACAGCTTCTTGCATCACTAGAATGTGATGGTGGACTAAACTTAAAATGAGGTGTGCTTCATCAGGCCTTCTCTGTATGTTTTTTTCAGTCTTTATGAAGAAGCAAAGCCAAAAAATTGTGTTGACCTAAAGAACTGCTCCTGTCCTTAGATCTATGAGCTGATCTAATACAAAATGTTGTTGACAAGACATACTGACAAAGTCTTTTATTATAAACAACCTCCTTATAGATACGTGTGCTTAGGGCAGGAGGACAAACTGGTTTTACATTTTCACATGGTGCTTTGCAAATGTGATGAATAATGCTTGCCCTTTGTCATTATTTTATGCAGCTTAATTTTAATTTGTTTAGGTTCTAGATGCTACCAGCCGATTAGGTTGTGAAGAAATGGGAGGATATGGACCTCTTAAGGCTCACCCCTTCTTCGAATCCATTGTGTGGGAGAACCTGCATCTTCAGACACCCCCTAAACTTACAGCATATTTACCTGCTATGTCAGAGGATGATGAAGACTGTTATGGAAATGTATGTTTGTCTACTGCTGTATTCAGCTCTGATGCTACCTGAGACTTCCATTATAGCATAAATATTGAATATTAATATAAATCAATAATATAAAGACTAATATAAATATTTTTACTGAAACTATGGATTAGTTATATTTTAATTAAGATTTTAATTATTAAGCATGTAATCAATATTGCTGGTTAAATTTTTACTTAAATCAGCATTTGTTTTCTGATCAAGTGAGTATTTTGAAAAAGCAAGGCTTGCTTTTTGATCAGTCATACTTTTTTGCATAGATGCTTGCTGATCTATAGGGAATAGGCTGGGGTTTGGCCCAAAAGCAAAATAAACTAAAACATGCTTAAATTAAAAGGCACAGTTTAGTGCAAAATAAGCTTTTTAATAAAAGACATTTAATTACTTCATTTTGTTTCCTCCTTTAGTATGACAATCTCCTGAGTCAGTTCGGTTGCATGCAAGTTTCTAGTTCTGCCTCTTCCCATTCACTGTCTGCTGCAGAGACAAGTACACCACAGACATCAGGAGGAAATATTGAACAGTATATTCATGATCTTGACAACAATTCCTTTGAGCTGGATTTACAGTTTTCTGAAGACGAAAAGAGGTTACTTCTGGCAAAACAAGCTGGTGGAAATCCTTGGTAGGATCTTCGAATGTAGCTAAATAACTTGCCCAGCAATAAAAAATCCTGGAAAATAAGTGATTTTGATTCAAATTCATATTTGTCAATCTTAGTATTTTAAAGTAAAAAATTAGCAACTACATTTTTCTTGGCTTCTATTTTTAAAGCAATAGCAGCAAAACACTAATATTATATTTCTAAAATTTACAAGGTATAGAAGATGATGTGCATTGTATTTATAAGATAGGCAGAATGATGCTATCCAATGCTTCCAGAGTCTTTGCACTACAGTCCTAGAATTAGAAAAGATTCCTCCTTTTCTACAGATGCCAAAAGTTGTTGGAACTTTTTGCATGATAATATTCTGTGGGTATCTAACCAAAATACCTCCAGACTATGTAACAGCATTTCTTTTCACTCTTTAGAGAAGTCTCTCATGTGTGAACTTTTGTCATTGTTGTTCCTTGGAGGGTGGAGAGAGGTGTGCTGAGGGGGTTTTTTTGGTTGGTTGGTTTGTTTACAGTTTTCTTGTTTATTTTTTGTTCCTGTTTTGTTTGCTTTTGTTAATTTTTGTTGTTAGTGTTTTTTGTTTGTTGGTTTTGTTTGGTTTGGGTTCTTCTGTTTGGTTTTGGTTTTGTTTGGTCAGTTTTAGAATTTTAGAAATTTTAGAAAAATTTTAGAAAAAACTCACTGGTCTGGGCTAAGGAAGAGTCCAAAACTCAAGTACTACTAAAGTTGTTCAGGACTCTCGTGGAAAAGGACATGCTAGGGAATGACATGAAAAACTACTTGATCATTATAGCTGTTTCTGTGAAAGAATTACTTCTGGAGTAATAGTTATTTTTCTTTTTCTAAGGCATCAGTTTGTAGAAAATAACTTAATCCTAAAAATGGGTCCAGTGGACAAAAGAAAGGTAAGGGCTTTTCTTAATTTCCTGTAACAAGATTGAGCTGTCAAATTTTTGCACAGCTGCAGCATAGATAAGCAGCCTGCTTTAAAGCTTCCTTGTTTAAACAATTTGTCACCTATAAACAAGTTATTTTTAAAAATTCAGTGTTTTCTTGTGAGTAGATTGGATTTTTTCTTGATTTAGTCATGTGCTCTTGATTTCTTGGAAAAGCCTAAGTAAATCTGCTATTGATGCTTTCATTTTGAGATTGTAGCAAATGAGATTTGCTTCTCCTCCTCCTCCCAACGTGATATAATCTAATAAACACTTTCTTGATGCATGTCTGAATGTGGTTTGAACCAAAAATACCAAAAAATTACCAATGTTATTCTCAACTGTGCTTTTTTCCTGAATATGACTTGGTGCCCTTGTCCTGAAAGAGGCAGAGGTGATCTTAGAACAGCTTTAAGTGTTAATTTCAGCAGTTTACAGATAAGCAAGGATAGTCTGCATCAGCTTTAGCAGAAATAAGGTTCTCTTTCATATAAGTTGCTACCTGCTTTGTTGTAGTCTTCTCTACAAAACCATGATTATTGATTTCTTTGAGAAATAGATTCTGCTTCGCTCTGTGCTGCTAGATGTTTTAGGTTTTGCTAGAACTTGAAGATACTTTCCTAAAATAGTAATTGTTTTTCCCCACGTAGTAGAATAATGCACTGCAACACCCTAAAAAGAGTATGAGGTCAAATAGGTAAAGTAAAATTAAAGATTTCCCCCCCGCCCCAACCCCAAATATACCATCCTAGCACTGAGCTGGTTTTATCCTGCCTCTGTTGGTCAGTTCAGTGATGTGTAAATTTACATTTTTAATTCCCTCATGGATTTTGCTGGGGGTTTTTTCTTTTTCTTTTTTTTTTTTTTTTTGTTTTGCTTTTGTATTGCTACTTCTACTTTTCTTGTTAGGGATTGTTTGCACGTCGGCGCCAATTGCTGCTTACGGAGGGACCCCACCTGTATTATGTGGATCCTGTCAACAAAGTTCTAAAAGGAGAAATTCCATGGTCTTTAGAGTTGCGTCCAGAAGCCAAGAATTTTAAGACATTTTTTGTTCACACGGTGAGTTTATTTTCTGAATTTTCTTTGTAAATTGCTCTAAGGTCCTTGGCCAATTTCTGTAAGTTGTCAAAAAGATTTTTCTGGAGAAAGTATAATTGTTTAGACACAAAATTTCATAGTCCTAATTTAAAACTAAACAAATACCTGAACAAAGTCAATCAACAACAACAAAAAAAAAAAGGCACAAAATCCACACCCCCAAACAAAATTGAATAATAATAAAACAAAAATCACACAAAATCACTCTGACATACACATTTATCATAAAAATGCTACTGTATTTTTATTATTAGTGTTTAAATTAACCATAAGTGGATTTTGTGCTTTGAAGGATGTTCTTAATGACTTAACATTTAGCCCTCCTTGTATGTAGTGAATCATGAGATGTGTATAATATATTGTCAGTTGACTGCTTAAAAATATTCAGGTGCCAGATGTATGATTAATCAGTAATATATAATGTTATATAGCTGTAATTTAATTTAACTTTCAGAAAGTTAATGAGCTAATTGTGAATAATTTTTTATTGGTAGGTGCAGAATTACTACTGCTTTTTGGTTAAACTATGTTTGGAGTAATCATTAAAATGTTGTTCACTTATAGCCAAACAGGACATATTACCTGATGGACCCAAGTGGGAATGCTCATAAATGGTGCAAAAAGATACATGAAGTTTGGCGGCACAGATACCACCAGAATGCTGCAAAATAGTAAAGCTCATCCAAAATTTCCCAGTTTCCCTACTTGCTGCTAGAACTCCGTGTGCAGCCGATCAGAGGAATCTTTTCAACCCACCTATTACCATCTCAAGGGGAAACATACGTCTGAAATGTTCTTGGGGTTTTTTTATGGTTTTTTTTTTTTTTTGCTTTAGTTTTTGGTTTTGGTTTTTTGTTTTTGGTTTTCTTCTTTTGTTTGTCTGGGGTTTTTTTTTGGTTTTTTTTTTTTTTTTTTTGCTTTAGTTTTTGGTTTTGGTTTTTTGTTTTTGGTTTTCTTCTTTTGTTTGTCTGGGGTTTTTTTTTGGTTTTTTTTTTTCGGGTTTTTATGGTTGGTTGTTTGTGTGGATTTTTGGGGGTTTTTTGGTTTTTTTTTTGTTTGTTTTTTTTTTAAAGAAGAAAAAAAAAGGAAGAAAAGCAAAAACCTAGTGGAATTCAGGGTTGCTTTGCTCGCTCTTTGTGCTTCTGTTGAGGTTTCCACATGCATATCATTGCTGTGAAGATCTTGCTTTTGTGCACTTCAGTTCTGTTTCTGCTGCAGACTAGTGGATAGACCTTGCATTACCAGCTTCACTTAAGATGAGTTAAAACCAACCCACACGCACACACGCCGAATCATGTACCAGCCTTGCATTTTATGGGGCTGGAGTTTTCTGTGACTCTCAGATTATCATTAAACTGTGTTTCATCAGGGAGCTTTTATATGCCTCTCCTAAGTACCACCTCTTTGTTTCCTCTTCCTTTCCTCACAGTCCCCCAGCTTATTGGTATGTGGCATTTGTAGCCAGGTTGGTTGCACCCTTGTGTAATTCCTAACATTGTTCTGGTTGCAGGATTTGTGTGGTACTATAGTAATTATGTGAATGAATCAGATGTATTTGTCTGGCAGACAGGCTCCAGTGATAAAGCTTTTGAGAGAGTAAAATGCTGAACATAGCACTGAAATTTCTAAAATTGAAATGTTGGCTTCTGAAGCATTTTAAACATTAAGTTTAAATTTTAATATAAGTCATATGTGTGTTTAATCAAGGGACAATAAACTTACCAGCATGCTTTTAACTAATGCTAACTAAAAGAGAAACTAGTTAGTATGGGGGAGAAAAGGCTACTATTGAAATAGTAGATAGTTTTTCACCTTTTCAGCAGATGAGGGCTGGAAGCTTTCTTTCCAGGGTGTGCATGTGTTGTGCATTTTAGTGGGGCCAACCTATTTTCTTGGGTAGAGAAGGAAGTGTGAAAACGTTGTACAATTGATTACTTGGCAATTTTTTTTGGTCTCATTGTGTAATGAGATGTCAATTCTATTTTTGGTCCTTGGCCAAACATTCAGGAACTCTGGAAAAAAATGTAAGGAATTGAAATACAGATAATAAAGTAATATGATGAGAAAAATCAAAGGCAAATATTGATACAAAGGGGAAAATATATGGTACTTAAAGCATATCTATAAAATGAAAATATTTTTCATATTGATCTCCTTTATCCTCTTCGAATTATGGCTGTTTTTTGTGGTCAAACATTTCTTGTCATGTTACAAAAACACAACTTCTTATGTGCTAAAAAAAAAACTTCCCCAGTGGTATTTTCTACATGCTTGTGTTCCTAAATCTTGCAGAGGAGAATGACCTAGGTCTGGACAAAGGCATTCCTTCCTTGTTTTAAAAGCAGTATAATCATCATACCTATTTATTCACTCATTACATATACCATTACTTTGCATTTTGAATTGTCATATTATGATGTGCTTTTCCTTCCTCCAAAGAAAGGTTTCTCTGCAATGTTCAAAAAACTCATAGGCTACTGTTCTCTAGTAGCAGTAGTTTAAGAAAAATGACTTATCAGATTTCTCTGAAATTATGTGAATGTTGAATATCTTTTTGTACAGGGTGAAGGAGATTTATTATCGATCTCTTAAAAACTGTGTTATGTGGTTGAACTTGATGGCAGTTCAGCTTTTCCAGTCTTTAGAAGAGACAGTGCAGTTGCCTTTTCTTTTGGTGCAGCTGCATTCCTGTAGTCATCTGTATCCCACCACATATGGAAACCTGAGACAAGCAAATCCCTGGCTTACTGTGTCTGATGTTAAAGGGGAGAAGGGCCCCTGTAAATGGCTGAGGAAGACAGAAAAGTGTTCCCCTTTGCATCATGAGAAATCCCATCACGTACAAAGTATACTCCTTGTTGCTCAAATTTGAATAGCACACTGTACCTTTGATCTGTGTTTGTAGTAAGCTATATGTGCCATTCTAACCAAGATGACGTGTATTTTAAGTCTGTTGCAGTGCTATCCGTTTGTTCCTCAGCTGTCAAATTCCGGCCACGTATTGTGTCCACTGGAGACAACCCTACTACTTTTGGATTTAGTCTCTGGTATTGAGATCTGGACAGACATATTCCCAACTTCATACAGGAGTTTGGCAGTGGTGGAGATTCACAGTGCCACTGCTGTTCAGTGTGATAAAACTTGGCCTCACATAAAATGTCTGGCAAAATGACCTCCATTGGCTTAACTAGGTAAAGATCTAGGTGTGCTTTAACATGTTTTCTGTAATATTTAGATTTTTAATCATTTTACCATAGCAAATTAATTGTGGTTTTTCACACCTTGAAAACCTTCTCTCAGTAGGCTTTCATCATGCCCACCAAAAGCTTTCAGCCAGCCTTGTAGATCTTGGTAGCAGTAAGCTGTCAAGAAGGTACCTGGAAGGCTGATGTCTGCATTCTAGAAGTCCTTTTTTTTTATTATTTGACAATGCTGTTATTGGAAAACTGTAAGCATCTCTTACAGGCATCACTCCACTTAGAGCTTCAGTACTCCTAATCCAGTCTTACTTAGCTACTGCTTTTTTGGGAAGGAACTAGAACTTTCCTGGGAGAGGTATTTCTATTTCTTGGACTATCTGTAGAATCTGTGGGTTTGAAAGGTGGCAAGAGTATAGAGTGAGGCATCACAAAGCAATTGTGGATTCAAGTATGTTTTGCCAGTTTGTCCACTTAAATGTGTGTTGAAAGGTGCTGCATACTATGAAGGGCTGGTACCCATTTTAAATGCTTATACCTGGTGTGGCATAGAATCAGGTCTTTGTCTGAAGATCACTCCTGTGGTTCATGGGAGTTCATGGAATGAAATGTGCAAAGGAGGTTCTTCAGAGCTGCACATAGGCCAGGTGATTTTTCTGCTTTTAATCCAAGGTGTTCAAAGGAGAAAAAAAAAATTTAGGTACTTGAAGACTCTCCTTAAGATTTTTCCTTACTGCAGACCTACTGAAAACCAAATCTGTTGATTCATACCATCTCTTGAAATTTCAACAATTGTTGATCATTTATGAAGAATCTGGCCAATAGTGTTGTAATTTTGGTTTGCTTGGTATTTGAACTTCAGAAAGGTTTATTCTATCATTTTCTGTGGTGTGGAGCTTAAAGGATGAAGTACATGCCCAGTCACAAGAAATTTAGGACGAATTTAATAAACTGAGAAATTAGTTTGTTACCGTTTGCCTTAAAGTTCAGTTTTGTAAAGGTTTTGTATTAAGAAAGAGTTACTTCAGATGTGATGTTGAGGCATTGTTAGCAGACTGATATTGCCTATTACAATTCTGTTTGTTAGGCACTTAGGTGCTAAAAAGATCAAATTATCAGTACTGTGCTCTACTTGTCTCCTTCTGATGTGATTTAATTGTGAAGTATCTGCTATATATATAAGTCTGAAAAGAATTGTGGATTGAAACAAAGATGTGATTATTCTAATCAGCTTTCATAGTTCAAGATGCTTAATTTAATGTGCTTGATACAGTTATTTTTTGTGCTGGGAACTTTGAAAAATTATGGGAATTTCCCACATGTACCTTTTCTTCTGAATTAGTAAAGTCAAGACAATTACTTCATTTGGCCTGTGGATAAAACATTTGATTTCAAGACCTTGCTGAGGACAGAACTTGTGTATTAATAGTTGCCTAAAGATGTGGCCTCTGGATGGATTCTGATCATTCTTTCTACTAGTAAATTGCACAAATAGGTGCAGTATTTATATCTGAAATTTTGCTGAATGCCTGTAATGCTTCATGGAAATATTTTATGAATCAAATGCTCCTGCAAAGCCTCATGATGCAGATTGTCTATCAGGTGATCAAGTGAGCTTACAGACAAGTAGTTCTGTAATCCAAAATGGCATGTTTTCATTTATGACTGATAATTTCAGAGTGTTTCCTCTTTCATAGAAGAAATTACCATTATGCAACAAACAGTTGGAGAGGTTCTTAAGCACCCAATAGCTTGGTTTTAGAGTAAAGAGAATATACTGAGTTGGAAAGGACCCATCAAGGTCATAAAGTCCAACTCTTGGCGCTGCACAGGACTCCCCAGCAATCCCACCATGTGCCAGACATCTTCTTGAACTCAGGCAGGCTTGACCGCTTCCTGGGGAGCCTGTTACAGTGTTCACCAGTGGCCACCCTCTGAGTGAAAAGCCTTTTCCTGACACCTAACTTAAAGCTCCTGTGCCTCAGCTTCACACCATTTCCTCGAGTCCTTTCCCTGGTCAAGAGAGAAATCTGTCTGTCAGCTGGGCCATGAATGTAGATGATTGCCATTTGACAAAGCTTCCTATGGCCATGTATTAACTGACTTGATGTGGTGAATGTTCGCAATGGTAGCAGAACTGAAAACTACTCTATCTGACAAAAGAGAAAAATTAGGAACCAGGAACCATAATCAGTTTTGATAGTTGTATGCTGTTTTCAGGTTGGTGGCAGTCAGTTACACGTGTAATATGCTCTACCTGGTTTGTAGCTGTAACTGTGATGTACAGAAAGAAAGAAGAAACTCACCCCAAAGAAACAAAACCCCTGACCCCCCCTCAACAAACCACAAAACAATCTCCCCTCCTTCAAGAACTCGTGAAAACAGAAGCAAATAATGCAATGATATGATACACACTTTTGTATTTTTATTCTTCTAAGGTTATTTGCTGGCTCTTGTTGGCCTCTAGTTCAGTCTGTGTTATTTAAATTCTAATATATGAATTATTTGGATTGATTCATGTTCGGGGCCATGGTGTTGTATGTATTGATGTACAGCCTTGAATGTGAATAATTATTGTAAACTATATTTTACACCTTTTTTCTGGCTTTATTATATAAATTTTCTATTGGTCGATGATTTAATCATATCTCATAATTTAATGACTGTTTATTCTCCTCTCGACAGATCTCTGTGCTGTAGATGTGTAGTTAGTGACTGGATGACGGATTTCACTTATGCTTGGTAGTCTGTAATAAAGGCATGTAGGGTTCTGCGCGGCCTCCGCCTCTTCCTTCCGCCGTGGGGCGGGGGGCATGGGGTACAGACAGGCCCGTGGCCTCCGGCCCTGCCGCCGACACGAGCGCTGCTCCCGGGGCCCCCCGCCGGAGCCGCTGCGGCCGCGGGCGAGAAGGGGCAGGGCCCTGTTCCAGCCGGCGCTTCCGGTGGGCGGCGCGCCGGGGGCCAGGCAGCCGGGGCGGCCCCTTCCGGCGGTGGCGAGGATGGCGGCGGAGAACCACTGTGAGTTCCCGGTGCCCCCGGCCGGCGGCCTCGGCGCGGGCGGGCCCTGCCGTCGGTGTAGCTCGGCGCCGCTCCCTGGCGCGGGGCCCGGCAAGTGGGTGAGGCTGAACGTGGGGGGCACCTGCTTCTTGACCACTCGACAGACGCTCTGCAGGGACCCTAAGTCCTTCCTCTTCCGCCTCTGCCAGGCCGACCCCGACCTGGACTCGGACAAGGTGAGCGCGGGCCCCGCCGCGCCCGCACCCCGCTTCGGGCCCGCTCCCCCCGCCGCCGCGCCCGCTCCCCGCTCCGGGCCCGCTCCCCGCCTGCCGCGCTGAGGGTGCGCTGCGGCTGGCGCCTGGTCCCGCTGTGACGCCTGCCTAGGCGGCCGCCGGCGTGAAGGGAACGCGCGGCCCGGCGCCGCGGTGAGGGGCGGCAGGAACGACTCTGCTGCCGTGGAGGGAGTCTTCCTGAAGAGTGTTGCTTAATGAGTATGTCGTGCGGAGCAGTTGGGTTCGTGGATAACAAAACCGCTCGTAAATAGAGCAGACAGCACAGTATCGTTTGTACGTTTGTGTCATATTTTTATGTTGTTTGACGGGGTTTAGTTTTAGCGTTTTTATGAAATATCTGCATGCACTGACATTGTGTTATTTCTGCACTGTCATTATTCTCTTGTTCAATAACAAGAACCAGAGCAAAGTACTTTTGATAATAATCTCTCAGACATAGCTTCTGTCTTTTCAGCAATTCTTAAAGAAAAAGAATTCTCTGTGTTGCATAGAGTTGCATATTCTGCATAGATTGCAAGTAGTGGGTGAATATTTTGGTATTCACTCTGACTCATTTTTAGTAGGGGAAGAAAGTTATTAAGATTTTATTTGTGGTGTGGTATGTAGTAATGGATATAAAGTATATAGTGCTGGCTCTGAAATAAATTTTGAAGCATTACAGACAAAAAAGCATTTTCTACAGTTAGGGAAAAGAAAGGAACAGCTTATACCCTTATAACCAACAGGTTGAAAATAAGGAGTTGTTTATTATATATAAATTTTGAATTTTTTTTTTTTTTTTAGTGAGCTTAGTAGATTTCATCATTTTTTCAGGCATAACTTCCACAAGGGATAATTGAGCACTTAAGATAGGGAACGGAATGTAATGTTCCCGAGTTAGAAGAAAAAAAAAGTTGAAGTGTGGTGGTGGGGGAATTGTTTTGTAGTTGTCTTTGGTTTTGGTTGAGGTTTTTATGCAGAGCTTAAATTTACCTATAAAACTAAATTTTAAAATATAGGTGGCTTGCTGATAGGTAAACTTTGTTTGGGAGAGAGTAGGAAAGCATTCCTCTAAGGTTTCCTGATTAAAAGATAAATCACTGCCATATGCTCTGGCAGGTGGGAGGGCCAGCTGTGTCCTGCACTGTTGTCCAGCATTGCCAGCTGGGCAAAGGAGGGGATTGTCCCATTCTGATCTGTTTTGGGGTGTGGCCTCACTTTGAGTCCTGTAGCCAGTTTTGGGCACCACAATATCAGAAGAATCTAAGGCTCTTAGAGAGCATCTGAAGGAGGAACACAAAATTTCTGAAGGGGAAGCCATAGGAGAAATAGCTGAGGTCACTTGGCTTCTTCAGCTGAAGAAGAGGAGGCCAAGGCAAGGCTCATCACTGTCTGCATGTTCCTCTTGAGGGGCAATATCGATCTCTGTTCTGTGTGACCACTGACAGGATCCAAGGGAAAGGCATGGAGTTGTGTCAGGGAGGTTTGTGTTGGATATAAGGAAAAGTTTCTTTTCAAAGAGATTGGTTGAACACTGGAACAGGCTTCCCAGGGAATGGTCCTGGCCCCAAGAAATGAGGTTGACAAAGCTCAGGGGCACATGGTGGGAGTGTTGGGGCTTTGCTGTGCAGGGCCATGAGTTAGACTTCATCCCTGTGGGTCTCTTCCAACTCATGATATTCTGTGATTCTATGATTTCCTTAATGCTTCCTACTTTAAAGAACTGAGAGGCTTCAAGGAAGGTAGCATGTTGGCCTTTAAACTGCCTTCAGGTACTAATGTTGAGTAGGACAGGGCAGCCTGTCTCTTGCTGTCTGGTATGTTTCCACATGTAATGGGAGAAAGATTAACCTTTGGCACACCCTGTGGCCAAACTAGTGTTCAGTGGATGAGGATAGTGAAATTGACTCTCTGAATTTAGTATGTTTCACAATGTCACACACAGCTTTAAAACTGTTGGAGAATCATTTCAGATTTCAGCAAATAAATGAGCTGTAGTGGTCATATTTACTGTTCAGAATAGGATTTGTTTTCCATTGTATTTAAATCTTGGTTTAGAGATGAATACATAAAAATAGACAAGCAGAGCCTTGCTCACCTTGTCATCATTGTTTAATGTAATGCTTTTACTGCATTACTGTTAATAATTTACATCTATGTCCTTGTTTCAGCGTCTTCCTATTTTAGCTGTATACCAGTTTTTTGTTTGCAAACTGTTCTAGCATTCTTTTTACTTTCCTCTAAGAAGGAGATTGTCAAACTTTTGTAATAAGGTTTTGGCAGTAGTACTCATGCTTGTATTTTAATGCCTTTCTGAAGTTGGCATGGAATCTGTCAAAGAAGGAAGCACGCAAGCACTGAGTGTTTTAGAGAAATCCAAGTCTTCCTGCTAGCGCAACCTTGACTGTCAGCGTTAGGAAATATCTAAATTCTAGTCATTATTCTAGGAAGGAACAGATACATTTCATTTGTCCATGAGATTTCTGACCTGTCAGGTGGGTTGTGTTACTGATGTAGTTTTTATAAGTACCACTGGTTTGCAGACACTCAAAGTTTTTAGGCCACGCAGTTTGTGAAAAATTCACTAGTTCAATATTTAAAAAGCACAGATGATAGGGATGACAATTATATATAAATCCAAGTTTAGTACCAAGTACTGCTGTGTTTCTCTGCATATTGCTGCCTTTATAAGAACTCAGAATATGTAAATGATGTAAAATTTAAAAATGATGTAAAATTAAAATATTCATGTTAGAGCCTTGAGCCAAGAGCTTGATGGTGTGACTTGAGTCATACCATCACTTGCATCACCATACACAGTCTTGTATCCAGATCCAGTGCTGATCCCAATGAAGATAATTAATTGGAAATAAATTTATGACATTTCAGCTAGTGTTTTAATGCAATTCTTGGGGAGATTATTAAATGGGATTAGAGAGGTGTATGTATTTCGTACACCTTTTGAGTCCTTCTGGAATCCTGTATTGGATTCTAGCATCCACAATTCAAAGTTACAGAAGGGCAGTGGCTAGTCTCAAGGTGAAATATGATTTGGTGAAAAGTTTTAAAGGACAAAACTTTTTTATGGCAAGGAGTTTAAGGAGTGACTTTTCAGTCCAGAGGTGCATACATGGAGACAAGAAATCTAATAGTGAAGTCTGTTCAGTCTAGCAAAGGTGTTGTGAAATACAGCTAGCAAAGTGTTGGACTATAGGTGTCCTTGCTAGGAAGCACATAATATTACCAATGACAGTAATTATTTATTGGAATGGTTAGGTTTCACTGCTACTTTCTAAAGGTTGTAAATAAATTGAGTTTTTTATGTGTTTTAAACTAAGATCAGGGTAAGTGTTCATTATGATTCCTTCGAGCCTCAGCCTCTGTAAAGATCAAAGTGAAAACATTTGTGACGGGAATACATGATCACTTAATTGCTTTGGTCAGTATTTTTCAAAGGAATGTAATTGTGAGCTACACTGACTTTTCATTGGTATGCTGAACCAGGTGATTGAAAATTTAAGAGCAAGTTACTACGTTTCCTCTAAAATTCCATGATGTTTGTAACTTGAACAAAACATTACTGTGGGAGAGTGGTAATAAACAAATGTAGTCTTCACTGTATGTAGGCAATGCTGTGTTCTAAATGGTGTCCTTGTAAATATGCATGAAAAAGGCCTAGAACTTACAGACAATGAAGAAAAAAGCACTCAGAGAAGAATGTAATGCAAAAGTAGAACTGAGTAGAGATACAAACAGTCCTGTGATTAACTAGCAGTTTAGGGTTGGATGCACAAAGACAATATGCATTTGTTTTGAATTTTCTTATGAAGAATGTCAACATTTGCAGGAAACACCTCTAAGTGTGGGGTGATATGACTATACTGAATAGAGAGGAAACTTGAATTTCTGCTGCTGTTCTGGTAAACAGTAACACCTATTTCTATAAAGTACATCTGAAAGAGAGAGAACTTTGAAACCTTATTAGAATATAGGTTTGTTTGACATTTGTGGTATTCACCTGAAGTTTAGGAAATGGCTTCAAAATGCCTACACTGGTTGTGTCAGTGATGATGCATACTTTCTCAAAGCTCGTAGAAAAAACAATTTACTAGTTAGCAGAGGAAATTGCATAGATGAGACATCAAAGTCTACTAATACTTAAGCTTAAGCTAGCAAGCCTAAAGCTAGTTATGTGCATGCAAACTAGTTACCTATTTCAATTGTCCAGTTCACATTAGATCACGTTTGCAATTTATTATTTTATCTTACAATAAAACAGTTTTTATTAAAAAGTGTCAAAAAGCTAATTACATGTGATAATACAGTGTGTTTTCATGTATATGTGGATGAAAACAGCCCTGATAATATTCTGA